GAAGTCATGGACCGTGAGATCATGACCTGAGCCGAAGTTGGACGCTTAACCAACCGAGCCACCCAGGCACCCCGGAATCTTTCTTTATATAAGATAAAGATGTTCATATTTAAAAGCTATTCAACTGAAGGTTCTGCATGTGACAGCTTTATATTGCTTTGGTTACTTATGTATTTGTATTTTTTTCTCCTAACACTAAGAATCAGGTTTAGGGAAAATACCTAAATAAAAAGCAGCAATGATACACTATATAAAATTTTAAGAAACATCAAGATGCCCTCTTCTGGACATTCTGAATAATGGAACTGAATAGACCGGGTTCTCTGAGCCATCAACAGTCTCAGCACATACGTAACTAAACCGAAACCCTGTGTCAGATAAGATACACTATGGACTTATATGAGGCTCTGGTTGTTGAAGTAGAAATAAAACCTAGTTGCAAAGTGGTTCCTCCCATGAAAAATCTTAAGCATATTTTTATACATAAATAGCATTGAGAAATAATATCAAATATCTACACTTTCTCTCTCTCTGCATAATACTTACTTATATACAGTATTCTGTATGGACTGTGATGCCAGAACTATTTTACGATGATAGCCTTGACCAACAATAGACTGTACAATTCCTTTCTTACTTGGAAGGCCTTTAGTTTCTTGTTCAGCAGTCTGCAAAAACACAAATAATTTCCAATTAATCAATGCAACGGTAAGACAGGATGTGAAAAATGATCTAATATTTTTCGAAGTACTCCAAGGAAGTTCCTATGATCCATCAGTGTGCAGTTTTGGTGATAAAGGAAATATGTTCAGTACTGAAGAAAAGGATGGTTAATTAGTACATGAAGCGGGAAGTCTGTCATATATGCTATATTTTAATATGAAGTCTGAGGTAATTCTAAGGAAAAAAGGCAATTCAAGAACGACTTAAGCATTTATTTAGAACGATCTAGTTAGAATATCCTACACCCTGGACACCATGCTGCATCAGAGTAAGGAAACAGGAGAGCCACAAAAACTCAGAAAGGGAAGCAACTCTACTTCCTAGAACCCAGCGTGTCTTTCTTAATTGAAAGCATTAATTAAATTTTAACAACATATAAACTGGGACAAGCTACCTGTTAACATTTACACGGGCACAATTCTTTCCTTCTAGAAAATCGAAATTCTAAAACCCTGTAAACATTAGACCGACAACAGTAAAAGCTACCTACACACACACAGTGTTGGGATGTCTCACGAACACAGCAGCATCACCTCACTACGAGAACTTAATGTGCCAGCGGCATTTATCTTCCCGTCATTCGAGGTCTCTGGGTTGCCTGCAGGTGGAATCCCACCCTGTCATTTTATAAAGTCACGCAGCTCTCACGTGCAGGAATAAACTGGAGCCGACCCATGCGAACTCGCAGAGCTAAACTCTGCCCTGCAAACAGTCCCTCTCTAAGCATGTTTCTGTACTGTTACTCACTGCTCCTACTGGAACTTTACTATAGTTGTACTTCCAGCCATGACTTCTGATAAAACAGGGATTCACTGTATACACTTCATTTTAAAAAGAAAATATTACACAGTGCTTAAAAAATACAACAAAACTGGGGCGCCTGGGTGGCGCAGTCGGTTGAGCGTCCGACTTCAGCCAGGTCACGATCTCGCGGTCCGTGAGTTCGAGCCCCGCGTCGGGCTCTGGGCTGATGGCTCGGAGCCTGGAGCCTGTTTCCGATTCTGTGTCTCCCTCTCTCTCTGCCCCTCCCCCGTTCATGCTCTGTCTCTCTCTGTCCCAAAAATAAATAAACGTTGAAAAAAAAAAAATTTTTTTTTAAAAAATACAACAAAACTGCTCTGACTGGAAATTTTGTGTCGAGGGGGCAGCCAAGCAAGATCAATGAAAAATAACAAAAAGTGGATATTCTGAACCATTCTTGGAAGGCACTCCCATTCTGACTTCTTTTCCTATTCGCGGTGATAAATTTATGATTCATCCATACGTTCCTTCCTGATCCGTAAGGTCACACAAGGTCACGCAAGGAAGATGTGGAGGTGCAACAGATGAAAACAAAGACCGAATGGAACTAAAAATCCGCAATAATAAACTTTCTTTTTTTTTCTTTAATTTTTGTTAATGTTTATTTATTTTTGAGAGAGAGAGAGCAAGCGAGCATGAGTGGGGAACGGGCAGAGAGAGAGGGAGACACAGAATCTGAAGCAGGCTCCAGGCTCTGAGCTGTCAGCACAGAGCCCGACGCGGGGCTCGAACCGACAAACTGCGAGATCATGACCTGAGTTGAAGGTGGATGCTCAACCGACTGAGCCATCCAGGCATCCCTTAACAGCCTTCTCTTAAATTGGTTCCATACTCTCCCTATAGTAAACTCTGTGTTTTATTTTATTTTATTTTATTTTTTTAATTTTTTTTTCAACGTTTATTTATTTTTGGGACAGAGAGACAGAGCATGAACGGGGGAGGGGCAGAGAGAGAGGGAGACACAGAATCGGAAACAGGCTCCAGGCTCCGAGCCATCAGCCCAGAGCCCGACGCGGGGCTCGAACTCACGGACCGCGAGATCGTGACCTGGCTGAAGTCGGACGCTCAACCGACTGCGCCACCCAGGCGCCCCAGTTTTGTTGTATTTTTTAAGCACTGTGTAATATTTTCTTTTTAAAATGAAGTGTATACAGTGAATCCCTGTTTTATCAGAAGTCATGGCTGGAAGTACAACTATAGTAAAGTTCCAGTAGGAGCAGTGAGTAACAGTACAGAAACATGCTTAGAGAGGGACTGTTTGCAGGGCAGAGTTTAGCTCTGC